ACATAGGTGTGCAGATATCTCTTCGATATACTGATTTCCTTTCTTTTGGATATAAACCTAGCATTGAGACTGCTGAGATTATGTGGTAGTTTAATTTTTAGCTTTTTGAGGGACCTTCAAACTGTTCCCCATAGTGGTTAGACTAATTTATATTGCCACCAACAGTGTACAAGTGTTCCCTTTTCTCCACATCCTCATTAGCATTTGTTATTGCCTGTCTTTTGGATATAAGCCATTTCAACTGGGATGAGATAATATCTCATTGTAATTATTTTTTTCTTTTCTTTTTTTGAAACAGGGTCTGGCTCTGTCACCCAGGTGGGAGTGCAGTGGCATGATCATGGCTCATTGCAACCTCTGCCTCCTGGGCCTGCATCAGGGCCTCATGACTGACTGGTGCCCTATCCTGCTATGGCTGAGCTGCTATCCAAGATGCAAGACAAAGTCCTGCCCACTCTTCCCTCTCCTCTTCTCAAGCAGAAGGAAAGGGTCCCTTTTGGAGCTGTGAGCTGTGCAGCCTGGGACTAGAGGATGGGTAATGCCAGCCCTCCCTTAGCTGCCCCAGCTGGTGTCTCAGTAGGTCGCATGGCCCCCCCAGTCCACTGTCTCTGGGCCCTCTTCAGCACTAGGACTTGCTTAAGAGTTGCAGTCCTTACGGCCTGCACTGACTTTAAAGTTTACTTGGAGACACAGAGCACTGTAGCCTTCAGTGGTGAGGTTTGTAGGAACTCAAGTTCCAGCCACTGGGGTTTCTGATTCCCCTTTGGCTAGGGCCAGTTTAAATGCCCCTCCATGGGCAGGTGTCACTGAGTCTGGTCTGGTCTTCCTATCTGCTTTACCAGGACAGCACTGAGTTAAATGCTTCACAATTGCTGTGTTCTCCCTCCCACAGTGCCCAGAGCAGCTCTCTGCACCATGCCACTGCTGCCAGGGATGGGGAAGGGGTGTTATCAGCAATTCAGGACTGTTTTTTCTATCTCTTCAGTGCTTCTTTCAGCAATATGGAGTTAAAACTAGGTACTATGTGTGCTCACCTGATTTTTGCTCTTCACTGGTCCAGTTACGAGGCATGTTGTGTGGATGCTCCTGGCACTTGTCGGTGTCCACGGGGTGCATGCCATGGACCAGATACTCATCCCCGTAGCAGTCCATGCCCTCCAGGTAGCTGTTGTCCTCGGGGCAGTAGCAGATGTTGTAGGTGATGCCCTCCTCCTCCTCAGGGAGGCCCTTGTCGTAGTCCTCCTCCTCAGAAGTGTTGTTCACGTAGTTGGAGTCCCCATCGGGGCTGTGGTTATGGCACTTCTACTCCTTGGGCATGGGGCTCTCTGGTCATAGGGCAGCCAGTTCCAGGCCCTCGGGCACATAGTCTTCTAAGGGCAGCTCCTCGTCTTTGTTCCTGGCCGTGGGGAACAGGGCCTGGCCTTGCTCCATGGTCCAACATGCCGCTCCCTGCGCCCATGGCAGGCACTCACACAGCCACCATCTCCTGGAGGAGGCAGCCAGTGTGGGAGGAACATTGGGAAGGACAGAGTCAGAACCTCACAAAGCCTAGCCACACGAGGCCACTCCACCCCCCAGCACTTCCCACCACGTTCTCCCACGGCAACGGCAAATGATAGCTGAAGATTTTCACTACAGCAATGTTTCAAAAAACTGAAAACGACTTAAGTACCCATAAATAAAAGAATGGTTAAATAAATGACGGCAGAGTTCGAGTACTGCAAGAGTTGACGGCGTTTTTAAAGAGGCAGGGCAATGCACACTACAGGGAGGGATCTTAACGCCTGTTTTGGAGGGAAAATGGCAGGTGAGCTACAGTCAGCACACGTGTGTAGATCCCAGTTCCAGCTCCGTCAAGATGGCTAAGAATACACACACACTCCCCAGCCCATACACGGATGCAAACACACACAGAAAGGGGGAGTCCCCAAAGACTTGTCAGCCATGTCCTCTGGGGAGGGGAAGGGAGAGAGGTGGGAGCAGAAGGGGTTTGCACATTTTACTTTATTAAAGATGTTTGTACTGTTTAAGTCTTTTACCAAATCACATTTTATTATCCACCAAATCGCATTTTATTATTCACCAGCATTATAATCAAACCCACCTGTGCGCCTTTGAGGGTCTCCTCTTCTAGCTGGGGAGACGTCAGCACTGAGACAAAACAACCCATGGGGAAGGGCAGACACCGAGGGGAGGAAGCAGGATTTCGCATACCCGCCGCCACTCTGGGCGTCAAGAGAGTGGCAAAAAGGCCAGTCTCCTCCAGGAAGGCGGCCACTGGGGCAGAGGGGCCAGCCTCCCAGGCAATCGGGACGTGAGCATGCCCCAGGGCACAGCCAGAGACACCAGAAACACCGGAGGCAGCACTGACCCAAGGGAGGGCGGGACCAGGGGATGTGCCGGCCAGGATAGCTGGGGTTGCCCAGGTGGGCAGTATAAATTTTGGGAAAACTAAATAATTCTATTTCATTCAATGGGTAGCTTGTGTGGCAGGGGCTGTGTGGTGTGTGCATGAAATACAGTGTGTGTAGTGTGGTGGGTAAGGAGTGTGCAGTGTATACGGGGTGTGTGTGTGTGTGGTGGCGGGGCATCCTTGAGGGTGAGTATGTGCAATATACTGTGTATGGTGTGTGGTTGTGGTGTATGTGATGCATGTCTGGTATGTGTGGAGTGTGATATAGGGTGGAAGGGTTGAGTTTGTTGAGTTTTGTGTGTATGGTGTAGTGTATGTGGTGTGTATGGGGTGTGTGTGTGGTATGTATGATATTATGTGGTGTGTGTGGTATCTGTGTAGTGTGAATAAGTTGTCTGTGTGGAAGGTGATGTGTTGTATGGATGATGTAACATGTATGTAGAGTGTGGTGTGCTGTTTGTGTGCAATTTATGAAGTGTGTAAGGTGTGTGGCATGTATAGGGTGTGTAGGTGTATAAAAAATCTGTATGGTGTGTATGTATGGTATGTGGTGTGTTTGCTGTGTGTGGTGTGTATGCAGTATATGTGTGGTGTGTAGTATGTGTGGAAAGGGCATGGTGCATATGAAGTATGTGTGTGGGGTGTGTGTGGTGTACATGGGTTAAGTATGTGCTGTGTGTGAGGTGGGCATGGTATATATGTGCTTTGTGGTGTGTGAGGTGGATATGATATGCATGTTGTGTGTGGTGTGTACGGAGTATGAGGAAGGTATGATATGTGTATGGTGTGTGTGTGAGTTGGGTATGATATGTGCATGATGTACATGGGTTAAGTGTGTGGTGTGTCTGAGGTGGGCATGGTATATATGTGGTGTGTGGTGTGTAAGGTGGGTATGATACGTGTTTGGTGTACCTGGGGTGTGTGGGGTGTGTGTGAGGTGGGTATGATATGCGTGTGCTGTGTGTGTGGTATATAAAGGTTGGTGTGTGAGGTGGGCATGGTATGTATGTGGTGTGTGGTGTATATGGGTTAAGTGTGTCTGGTGTGTGAGGTGGATATGATATGTGTATAATGCGTGTAAGGTAGCATGGTAGTATGTGTGGTGTGTGTGGTGTATATGCATTAAGTGTATGGTCTGTGTGATATGGACATGGTATATATGTGGTGTGTAAGGTGGGTATGTATGTTGTATGTGATGTGTATGCAGTATGTGTGTTAGGTGGGGATGATATATGTATGATGTGTGTGAGGTGGGCATGGTATATATCTAAGGTATGGTGTGTGAGGTAAGTATGATATGTGTGTTGTGTGTGGTGTGTATGGCGTATGTATGTCGTGTGTGTAGGGTGGGTATGTGTGTGGTGTGTGTGTGGTGTGTATGGGTTAAGTGCCTGGTGTTTGTGAGGTAGGCATGGTATATATGTGGTGTCTGTGATGTGGTTGTTATACATATGTGGTGTCTATGGGGTATGTGTGTGAAGTGGGTATGATATGTGTATGGTGTGTGTGAGGTGGACATGGTATGTGGGCTGCATGTGTGTGGTGTATATGGGTTGAATGTGTGGGGTGTGTGAGATGGGCACAGTGTATATGTGTTATGTGGTGTGTGAAGTGGGCACGGTGTGTATGTGCTGTGTGGTATGTGAGATGGGTATGACAAGTATATGGTGTATATGTGAGTTGGGTGTGATATGTGTGTGGTGTGTGTGATGTACATGGGTTAAGTGTGCAGTGTGTCTGAGGAGGACACGTATATATGTGGTGTGTGGTGTGTGAGGTGGGTACGTTACGTGTGTTGTGTGTGTGTGGTGTATATGGGTTAAGGGTGTGGGGTATGTGAGGTGGGCATGGTATATATGTGGTGTGAGAGGTAAGTATGTGTGTTGTGTGGTGTGTATGGGGTATGTGTGTTAGATGGGTAAGATATATGTATGGTATGTGTGAGGTGGGCATAGTATGTGTGGTGTGTGTGTGGTGTCCATGGGTTAAGTGTGTAGGGTGTGTGAGGTGGGCATGGTATATATGTGGTATGTGGTGTATGACGTGTGTTGTGTGTGGTGTGTTTAGGGTATGTGTGTGAGGTGGGTATAAGTGTATGGTGTGTGAGTGAGGTGAGTATATGTGTGCTGTGTGTGGTGTGTATGGGATAAGTGTCTGGGGTGTGTGAGGTTGGCATGGTATATGTTGTATGTGTTGTGTGAAGTGGGTATATGTGTGTTGTGTGTGGGGTGTGTGAGGTGGGCATGGTATGTGTGGTGTACATGGGTTAAGTGTGTGGGGTATGTGAGGTGCGCATGGTATATATGTAGTGTGTGGTGTGTGTGGTGTGTATGGGCTATATGTGTGGTGTGTGTGAGGTGGGCATGGTATGTGTGTGGTGTGTGTGCTGTGGATGGGTTAAGTGCATGGTGTGTATGAGGTGGGCATAGTGTATATGTGGTCTGTGAGGTAGGTACGTGTGTTGTGTATGGTGTGTATGGGGTATGTGTGTGAGGGTAGGTATGTATGTGGGGTGTGTGTGGTGTACATGAGTTAGGTGTGTGGTGTGTGTGTGGTGTGTATAGCGTATGTGTGTGGTATATGTGAGGTGGGTATGTATGTTGTGTGTGGTGGGTATGGGGTATGTGTGTGTGGTGTATGTGAGGTGGGCATAGCATGTGTGTAGTGTGTGAGAGGTGGGTATGGTATGTGTGTGGTATGCATGGGGTATGGGTGTGGTGTGTGTGATGTAGGCATCGTACGTGTGTGGTGCGTGTACGTATGCACACACATGCATACCTGTGTACTGCAGATGACAGGCAGGCTGGCAGCCTGGGACATGCAGCAGTGACCAGCTCAGCCAAGGTAGGGCTAGGGGCGGGAGTGGCCAGGCCCCTGGCAACTCAAGATCTTGGATGTGCTAAGAGCCTAGGAGGAGAGAACAAACTGTGTCACCGTCTCCACCCAAGGTCATCACTAACATGAACCTTTAAGAAGCACTGAAACTGTTCCACTTCTGATTAGAACCAGAAACAGTCCAGATGGGCTCAGCACAGCCAAGGGGCGGGGAACTGTCCTCAATGTTCTCCTTCACCATCTGCAGCCGTATCTACCACCAGCAGCCTTGCCAGGCAGTGCGTGCCTTGTGGAAGGGCCCCAGCCCAGAGGCAGGTCCCCACCCCCGCCCCGCCCCCGTGCCCCCAACCCGGTGCCTGCAGCCCAGGAGCAACGAGGTGTGGGGTCTTTTAATTGACAAGTTTTTCTCTCTTGCCCTTATTATAAAGGAAAAGGGAAGAGGGCAAAGATCCAGGCTCAGGTTCTCCGGGGACAGCGAACCCAGAGGCGACCCCAACCCAGTTGCTGCCCAGCACCGGGCCTCGATGCCAGCGCCAAGGGAGGATGGAGGAACGCACCAGCCACCAGCAGCCCACCCAGCCGGGTGGCAGGACCCGAGTGCTCCCCAAGCCCCAGACAGAGCCTCTAGCCGACACCAGGTGGCCATTCGCTGCCAGGCTTCCCCACCCAACCCACGAACGTGGGAGCCGCCGCCTAGTACCCGATGCACACCCCCTCCACCGGTCGTGGGAGCAGGAAGTGGCCCGTAAGAGAGGAGTGGGGCCGCTGGGCTGCTCCCCTAGACCCCAGCAACAACCGCCCCGCAGCTCCGCCGAGTACACAAGGCAGCGCTTCGGAGCACTGGGGCTGCAACCTCCGGCCGCCCCACGCGTCCGGGTGCCTGCAGCGCGGCGGGAGACCCCAGGCTGCCACCGCCTGCGAGTCAGGCAGCCTGAGCCCCCCAGCTTACCTGGCCAGGGTGCCGGGCTGCTGCAGCGCGCTGCCGTTCCGCGGAGTCGCCGCCCACTTCGTCCACGAAGCCGCGCTCCCCCGAGCCGCACAAACCTTCTGTAGCGGGGTCGCCGTAGGCGCCTCCCGGAAGCGGCCTACGGCAAGCGCGCAGGGCCGCCTCTACCGGGCGCACGCGCACTGACCTGAGCCTGCGGGACACGCACCCCCAACCGCTCGCTTCGCCTCACCCTCTCCTGGGTCGCCGTGGCGACAGGGCGCGGCGGGAAGAGATGGAATACGAAGATGCCTCGGAGCCGGGCATGCATGAGGCCCTGGCCTCTGGCCCCCGGCGCTGGGACAGTGGGCACGGAGGGCGGGCGCACCCGGATCCGGGCTGGTCTCCCTGACCGGGCAGGAGCTCAGACGCTGGAAGGCGGGGCGCCCTCAAACGCCCTGGGCCCTGGGGACCACCCAGATTCCCAAAGCACGTCCTGGCCCTGCTGGCTGGGTAGCTGCAGGGGTCTAGTACCGCGGGTAGAGCCGGCGAACACAAGGCTCCCACCGTGCCACGGCCGCCGCACTACGCCCTGCTTTCTTGAGCCCCACCACCACCGCAGCTGTAAGAGGCTACCCTAGACCAAGGAACCCTCGGGGCTCGCAGCCTCAGAAAACCCCATCTGGCAGGAGAGGCTCCCTGCTGCCTCCCCATCGCAGCTACCCTAGGCCCGTGCAAGGCTCCAAGTGTTCCCTACCGGTCCCCTCTAAGCACCCCCGCACCCCATTTCCCATACCTGTGCTGCTTTAGCCCCCCAACCCTAGGGCCTCACTCCAAGCCATTCTCTTTGCTGTCCTGAAGGGAGAGGACCTTGACCTCCGCGGGGCGCTGGAGAACACACACACACACATCCCCAGGGGAGCCAGTCTTCTGCCCCCACAGCGCAAGAAATTCCCTGAAGGCCTTGGAAGGTGGTGCTGGAGACTCTGGTGTCACCTTCGGCCCTCTGGCCCTTTCCTCGAGTCCCAGGCAGATGTGGTAAGCCGTGGGAGACAGCCAGGGTGCCTTGTCTGGGCAGAGCGGGGACTTAGGTGCCTCACTCCCTGAATGATTTGTCTTCTTTTCTCCTTGTGGCTGGATAAGGTGAAGCTGCATCTGAAGTTGGGGGTAAAGGACAGGGGACCTAGAGAATGAGGAGAGCCCATCTTCCTGCTGTCCTGAGGGCCCGAGCTGAGACCCTGAGAAGAAGGGGCTGGGGAAGCGGAATCCTGAGCTGCACTAGGGTTAGATACAGTGTGGACTTGGCCTCTCCACACTCTGCCCCCACCAAATACTCACAGATCTCCAGGGCCAGAGATACCAGTGGGGGCTGCTCCTGGTAGGGCAGCTTTGTAGCCACTGGGCCAAACAAAGGGGCAAAGGTAGAGCTGAGGCAGGCCAGTGAGGTTTGTGACTCCCTCCCCGCTCAGGTGAGCATACCTTCACTGCTTACTTTCCAGCTGGATAGACATTCTGCTTACCCGGCCAGCACAAAGTTCATCCAGCCTCCTGTGGCCCAGCCTTTCTCCAATGCCAATGGTGGAAAGCAACAATTACGAAGCAATGATTTCAAGAAGATAAATTCTTCTTACCTGACCGTTACGTGGTCACATCCCATAGGAAACCAGACAGCTGTGCCTGAAGCTGATCCACACAACTCCCCCACCTCCTCCAACCCCCACCCCTATCTGTGAATGTGTGTGAGTGGGCAAGTTGCATGCTGTTCCTTCAACAGCCTCCCTTGAGATCTACCCGTGGGCAGGCTCTGGGTCGGTAACTGGAAATTAAACCCCATCCCAGCACCCGGGAGTGAGTGGCTGATGTCCACAGTCCACAGGATGAAAGGTACAGGCCTAGGGCCGGGAACAGTGGCTCCCAACTGTAATCCCGATGCTTTGGAAGCTGAAGCGGGAGGCTCACTTGAGCCCAGCAGTTCAAGTCTGCAGTGAGCTATGATCATGCCACTTGCACTCCAGCCTTGGTGACAGAACAAGACAGTATCTCTTTAAAAAATGAAATAAATAAATTTAAAAATAAAGGTACAGGCTTGCCCCCAGCCTCACTCAGGAACTAAATCTGGTGGGCTTGAGCCAACTGCCAGTATTCAGAGAATTTTTAAAGAATCATTAGGACAAACAGCTAATGCATGCGGGACTTAAAACCTAGATGACAGGTTGATAGTGCAGCAAACCGCCATGGCACACATACGCCCCATGTAACAAAGCTACACGTTCTATGCTTGTATCCAGGAACTTAGTAAAATTTTAAAATAAAAATAAAGAATCAGGCTGGGCGAGGTGGCTCACACCTGTAATCCCAGCACTTTGGGAGCCCGAGGCAGGCAGATCACGAGATCAGGAATTCCAGACCAACCTGGCCAACATAGTGAAACCCCATCTCTACTAAAATACAAAAATTAGCTGGGTGTGGTGGCAGGTGCCTGTAATTACAGCTATTCAGGAGGCTGAGGAAGGAGAACTGCTTGAACCCGGGAGGCGGAGGTTGTAGTGAGCCCAGTTCACACCACTGCACTCCAACCTGGGCAGCAGAGTGAGACTCAGCCTTGGGAAAAAAAAAAAAAAAGCGGGGGTATACAAAAGAGTTGCTTCGTGTCTTTCTTGCTCTCTGCCATGTGAGGATACAAGCAGATGGCCCTCTGTGAACCAGGAGGTGGGCCCGCCGAAAGAAGCAACCGTGCTGACACCCTGATCTTGGCCATCTAGCCTCCAGAACTGGGAGAAATCAGTGTTTGTTGTTTAAGCCACCCAGTCTATGGCACTATGTTAGAGCAGCCCAAACTAAGACACTGCCCCAATCATAATGATATCCACCTATGTTTCGTTTAAATGCTTTCAAAGGTTTTTTGTTTGTTTTGAGACGGAGTCTCACTCTGTCGCCCAGGCTGCAGTGCAGTGGCACGATCTTGGCTCACTGCAACCTCTGCTCCCGGGTTCAAGAGATTCTCCCACCTCACCCTCCCAAGTAGCTGGGACTACAGGTGCATGCCACCAGGCCTGGCTAATTTTTGTATTTTTAGTAGAGGTGGGGTTTCACCATATTGGCCAGGATGTTCTCAACTCCTGACCTCATGATCCGCCTGCCTCAGCCTCCCGAAGTGCTGGGACTACAGGCATGCGCCACTGCGTCCAGCCTGCTTTCAAAGTTTTGCCTGTCACAACTAGATCTTTAATCAACTGGCTTTTATTTTTGATATGAACGATCTAGTTGTATCTACTTTGCATATAGATAATCAATTGTGCAAACACCATTTGTAGAATATTCTCTCCTTTCCCCAATAATCTACAAGGCAACTTCTGTCTCATATCAAGTTTCCATGTGTCATGGGTCTTTTGCTTGGTTCCTCTTCACTTCCATTGGCTGATTTGTGCATCCCCTGAACACTTCACTGTCCTAATTCCTTTGCCATCACAGTATGCACACAAATCTTCAGACTTCCATTACCCACCAACCTCTATGCAGTTCTTATTCTTTGAAAATATCTTCAAGTTCTGCTAGAAGTAAAGCCTGAGTCAAGGATTCAGGTACAAGCATTTTCTTAGGTGCTTCCAAGAAGTGCAGGTAAGAGGGTGGGAAGTGACAATAGGAAGGGAAGAAAGCCAACAGATGTTGCATTTATGAGCAGGTTGCCACAAAGGGTAACTGGGGCTCAAACTCACTAGGCCCTTCAAAGATACTGCATCTGAGGGGCGGGGAAGCTGTGGCATTTATCCACCAACTCCCATTCCTCATGGCTGTTTTAAAATGGACACAAGATTTACTTTAATCCGATATACTAAGATACATAGATATGGAAATGACTGTCCCGAAGGAAAGAATTCTTCATACTCAGAGGTCCACAGAAACAAGTGGCAATCCAAGCTATGCAGGGATACATGGAGAGGCACCAGTGTCAGTCAAGAAGTCAAAGAAGCTAGGGGAAAATGTGGTCGAGAGCTTTATTTGTGGCATCCAAGGGAAAGGCAAGGCAAGGCTGGGTAAGCAGGCACAGGATTAGCTATGAATAGTTTGAATAATTTCACTCGGCTCTGGGGCATAGGGCTGTCCCTAGTTGTCTGGTTCATGGCCCTGGGGTGATGAAGGCAGATGGACAGTGGCCCAGTGTAAGAGCCCGATGAAGGAGGTGGTTGGGGGTAGGGGCTTTGGATTGGCTGGTTTGCAGATGGAAGGTGCACTTGCAGGTGAGTCCTTTACTGTCTCTAAGAACTGGCTCACCCTGGGTGGAGCAGTCTCTCCAGGATCAGCAAGGCCCCAGCTGTCAACACATCAGGAAATACAGGAAATGAAAAGGCATGATGAATACACTGAGGGTGTTCTTGAAGACATCAGCCCCTGGCATGTATGTGGCTGGCAATGCCGAGGGCTATGGGGACGGCACAGTGTCTGCTGCACTATATATATATATTTTTTTGAGACGAAGCCTTGCTCTGTCTCCCGGGCTGTAGTGCATTGGCAGGATCTTGGCTCACGGCATACTCCGCCACCTGGCCTAAAGCAATTCTCCTGCCTCAGTTTCCCGAGTAGCTCGGACTACAGGTGTGCGCCACGATGCTTGGCCAATTTTTTTGTATTATAGTAGAGACGAGGTTTCACCATGTTGGCCAGGATGGTCTCGATCTCTTCACTTTGTGATCTGCCTGCCTCGGCCTCCCAAAGTGCTGGAATTACAGGCGTGAGCCACCGACGAAGTCTCACTCTGTCACCCAAGAATGCAATGGCTCGATCTTGGCTCACTACCCCCTCTGCCTACCAGGTTTGAGAAATTCTCTTGCCTCAGCCTTTCAGGTAGCTGGGACTACAGGCACATGCCACCATGCCCACCCAATTTTTGTATTTTTCTGTAGAGATGGGATTTCACCACATTGGCCAGGCTGGTCTCGAACTGCTGACCTCATGTGATCGCCCACCTTGGCCTCCCAAAGTGCTGGGATTACAGGTGTGAGCCACTGCGGCCGGCCAGCTACACTATTCTTGGACCCTCAATGACTACATGAATTTTCAGATCAGCCTGTCAAGTTCCAAAAACAACTCTATTGGGATTTGTCTAGGAATTGCTTGAATTTATAGATTAATTCAGTGAGAAATAATAAGTTTATGGCATTGAGTCCTACCATTCATAATATATATGGCATATATTTCCATTCTTCCTTTAAGTCCATGGATAATTTTTATATTTGTCTTAGTCTTTTTGTAGTGCAGAACACCTGAGACTGGGTAATTTACAAACAACAGAAGTTACTCTCTCAGTTCTGAAGGGTGGGAAGAAGATCAAGGCTCCAGCAGGTACAGTGTCTAGTCAGGGCCTGGTGTCTGCTTCCAAGATGGTACCTTGAATGCTGGTTCCTCTGGAGCAGACGAATGCTATGTTCTCATGAGGCAGAAGGAACAGATTTATCACCACCTCAAGCCCTTTATAAGGCACTAATCTCATGCATGAGCGCTCACCCTACTGACTTACTCACTTCTTAAAGGCCCCACTTAATACTATCATCCTGGCAATTAAGTTTTAATAGGAATTTTGGGAGACACATTCCAGCTATAGCAATACTCTGCATGAAAGGTCTGTGTACATTTTGCTAGATATATTCTCAGGGTTTTGTTGCTACTGTGAATAGAATCTCTTTTTCTATTACATTTTCTAATTTGTTATTTCTGATGTACAGGAATGCTAATAGTTTTTTTTTTTTTTAAGTTGATCTTGAATTCAAAAACCTTGCAAACTCTGTTACTAGTCCAAATAATTTATCAGTATATTCTCCTGGATTTTCTGCATAGACAATCATATGGTCTACAAATACGGGTAGTTTTCTTCTTTCCAATTTAAAATTTTTATTTTCTTAGTATGTTTCTTTTTTTCTTCTTCTTCTTCTTTTGAGACAGAGTCTCACTTGGTCACCTAGGCTGGAGTGCAGTGGCACAATCTTGGCTCACTGCAACCTCCACCTCCTAGGTTCAAGAGATTCTCCTGCCTCAGCCTCCGGAGTAGCTGAGATGACAGGAGCCCGTTACCATGCCTGGCTAATTTTTGTATGTTTGTTACTAGAGACAGGGTATCACCATTTTGGCCAGGCTTGTCTCCAACTCTTGAGCTCAGATGATCTGCCCACCTAGGCCTCCCAAAGTGCTAGGAGTACAGGTGTGAGTCATCGTGCCTGGTTGATTTCCCTCCCTCCTTCCCTTCTTCTCTCCCATCCTACTTCCTCTCTCTCTTTCTCTTTCTTTTTTTCCGAGTCTCACTCTGTCACCCAGGCTGGAGTGCAGTAGCATGGTCTCCACACACTGCAACCTCCACCTCCCAGGTTCTAGCGATTCTCCTGCCTCGACCTCCCAAAGTGCTGGGAGTACAGGTGTGAGCCACCGTGCCTGTTGATTTCTTTCTCTTTCTTTCTTGTAGAGTCTCACTCTGTCGCCCCGGCTGGAGTCCAGTGGCATGATCTCCACATACTGCAACCTCCACCTCCTGGGTTTAAGTGATTCTTCTGCCTCAGCCTCCCAAGTAGCTGGGATTATAGGCATGTACCATCACACCCAGCTAATTTTTGTATTTTTAGTAGAGATGTTTCACCATGTTGGCCAGGCTGGTCTCCAGTTTCTAACCTCAGGTGATCCGCCTGCCTCAGCCTCCCAAAGTGCTAGGATTACAGGAAAGATCCATCTCACCCAGCAGATTTATTTCTATTATAGGTTGACTCACATACATTTCTGATGTTGGGCATCTCGTAACCTATTATAAAAAAAAAGGCAACTTCCTATGTATCAGCTGAACACATTGCCTAGGACTGCCAGTGCCACAATCCATAGAGACAGTGATAGAAGCCAGCCTTGTCTACATCCTAACTTTGATGAAATGTCCTTCTAAAATTTTACCATTAAGTGTGATAATTGCTATATACTAAGGAAAATAGGGCCAGGAGTGGTGGCACACACTTGTAATCCTAGCACTTTGGAAGGCTTGTGGGGAGGATTGCTTCAGCCAGGAAGGGGGAGGTTGCAGTGAGCTGAGATCTTGATGCTGCACTCTAGCCTGCGTGACAGAGAGACTTTGTCTCAAAAAAAAAAAACACCCAAAAAACAAAAACAAAAAAAGGATGCTAGCATTATTAGTGCATTATGTGTTGACTCTGCCCTTGCATTATTGTAATAAAACCTAATTCACCATGATGCATTATTTGTGTGTGTGTACATTACTGTATTCAACTTGGTATTATTTTATATAAAATTTGGAATTCATGTTCATAAAACTTAATAACAGCTAACTTCTATTTGGTTAGAAGTTAGAGTTTTGGATATTGTTAAGTTACTTTCTTTCCTTGAATTATTTCATTTCATCCTAGAAGACTTATTGTAAAGGTTATTTCCCCTTTATATATGAGGAAGTTAAGGTGCAGTGAAGGCAAGTCATTTTTCCCTAAGGTCACAAGGAAGGTAAGTAGTGACAGCAGAAATACAAATCCAGATTGCCTGGCTCCAGAGGCCGTGCACTAAGCAGTGCCCTGCACCCTCTCCCTGTGACAAAGACCCATCATTCAGACTGTTCTATCATGAACTTTCCTTGTACATCCTTGTTCCAGTTTTCCACCAAGATTATATTATTCTCAATAGATAGATAGGTCTTGTTTTTCTTTTACTATACAAATACTCATTAAACTTTTATAAAAACCTATTCCATCCTACTACCTTTTCTAGCCTGACTTCTACAGTTTTGCAGTGGCCTCCAGGTTTTACAGCATTTGCAAGCTCCTGTCCTGGGGATGCTGGGGAGGTATACACCCCAAAAAGCCAGGGATACACACACAGATCAGCAGCAGACTCCCCCACCCTCCAGTATCCTTCCTTTTTGTTGAGACACAGTCTCACTCTTGTCGCCCAGGCTGGAGTGCAGTGGTGTGATCTCAGCTCACTGCAACCTCCGCCTCCCGGGTTCAAGCGATTATCCTCCCTTGCCTCCCATGTAGCCGAGATTACAGGCACCTGCCACCACACCTGGCTAACTTTTTTGTATTTTTTATTAGAGACAGGGTTTCACCCGTCCTCATCAGAATCACTGGATCATGACTGACCCCTAGAGGTGGCTTCTCGGCTTAACTGTCAACCCATGGGCTGGAAATGGGACCCCCAAAGCTGCTGTAGAAGCTTCCACCCATCCTGGACCACACTTGCCATCTGTGGGGGAAAGTCCTGTCCTTTGTCTTGTTAGCCCAGCCAGCCTCACAGGCATTCAGCAGATTGGAAAGCCTAAGCATGTGCTGTGCTGGGCAGGCCACCTCCGTGCCTTTTTTGGGGGGTGAGCTGGAATGCATTCCAGCCCCTAGCATGCTGCTGTTTATTCCCAGCCCTCATCCCCACCCCGCTACACACTCGTAAGTACAAACACAGGCACAGTCACGGACACACATCACCCTGGACAGCACCATTTCCAGCCTCCGCAGGGCGGTCTCCTTAACGGGGAAGTTAATAAAGGCTCAGGGGTCAGGGAGGACCTCTGTTGGAAAGAGGCTCCTAGACCCAGTTCTGTCTCTGACTTGCTGGGGGTCCGTGAGAAAGTTGCTTCCCCTGTTTGGTCCCAGTTTCCCCAGCTGAGAAATGGGGAGTTGAGCCAAATGGTCTAAGGTTTTGGGAACCTCTTAAGTCAGAGCCATAGCTGCTGGTCAAGATGAGGGAGAAGCCCTCAGGGTCAGCTGACACCTGAGAGGCAGGATAAGCCCAAAGGTGAGCAGCCTGAGCACATCAAGTGGGCCCGGAGCTAGAGCATGAGCCCCACAGCCTGCACAGCAGCCCTGGACTCGGGAGCCCGCCAGTGGGACTTCAGAGATGTGGGGTCCAGCCTCCCCTAATGTTGCAGGGCTGGGGGCTGCAGATTCTGACCCCACAATTGCTTTAGATATGCCAGATGAGCTGGGGCAAGACACACCCCTCTCTATGAAATGAGCAGTCAGTCCAAATAGATATGCCATGAAGTGTTGTGGAAGAAACCCAGCTATACTCTGGGGATAGACTGGCTTCCAGGTACTCAAGCAGCTGGCCTCTGGGGGAGGGGAACCAGGTATGAGAGGCAGGATTCAAAATCTAGGACCAGCCTCCACGGGAACCCCCTCTGGAGAGCCCAGGGCAGTCCTGGAAGTGCAGAAGGCAGCAGGTGCACTAGGAGCATGTTTCACAAGCCACCCAATATTGCATCTGCTCAGAGAAGCAGCCAGCTGGAAAGTGGATGCAGTAGGCAAGGTGGCAGCTGCTCCCCACAGCCAGGAGTCCAGT